GCTCTGGTGGGGGGGATGGGTGCTGGGACAGTGTATGACCGAAACCCAACTTATGAACAGCTTTGTAAAGATCTGTCTCAGAGTGTGTCGATAATAAAATCTTAAAAGGAAAAAGGAAAAAAAAAAAAAACCGAAGCTGGGGCAAGAGGCAGGTCCAGATCTCTGCCCAGGCCGTCTGCTCCCTCACCAGCATCTTCCCCCGTGGTTGGGGGTCTGGGGCCTGCAGCTCACAGAGCTGACCCCTGGACGCCAGGCTGCCGTGGCAGGGGCAGAAGGGGGTTCTCTGAGGCTGTGGGGAGGGTCAGGGTGTAGTGGATGGCCCCCAACATTTATTCAGACCCTGTTGTGGGCGTGTCACAGGTACAGACCCTCTGCAGAGGTCAAGAAAGCAGGCCCTGGGGCTGGAGCGATAGCACAGCGGGAAGGGTGTTTGCCTTGCACGTGGCCGACCCAGGTTCGATTCCCAGCATTCCATCTGGTCCCCTGAGCACTGCCAGGAGTGATTCCTGAGTGCAGAGTCAGAAGCAACCCCTGAGCATCGCCGGGTGTGACCCAAAAAGAAAAAATAAATAAAAATTTAAAAGGCCCGTCACGGCCCCTGCCCCGGTGGCTGGCCCGGTGCCCTGACCAGGCCATGGTGATGCCACTGGGAGGTGATGAGAACTGGTGACCAGATCTGCTTGCCCCGGGCCCTTGGTGCCTTCTCCGCACCTAGGCTGTCCCTCCCAGCCAGAACGTACCTCTGGGACCTGGCGGGGACAGTGCCCTGCCCTGCCTTCCAGACTCCCAGACGGACCCCTGCTGGGGAGCTGCCCACTCAGCCTCTCACGCTCATTCCCCGACGCACAGGGCGGCTGACTCACGGAACGGTGGGGGGAATTGAGGCAGGGGAGCCAGCAGGCCCAAGGGGACAGTCTGCAGCGCCATCCACATCCACCCACATCTGGGTCAGGTGCTTGGGGGACACAGCGGTCTCCACCGTGCTCCTGTCCCGGAAGAATGTGCCGGTGCCCGCAGGGTGGACAGACGGGACTGCTTGAGAGCAGCTGTTCTAGAAGGACATTCAGACACTGGAGACCCCAAGAAGGAGGGGCGGGCTCCGTTCTGTTGAGACTCTGAGCAGTGGGTTGTTTTTTTTGTTTGTTTTTTTCTTTTTGGGTCACACCCGGCAATGCACGGGGGTTATTCCTGGCCCTGCACTCAGGAATTACTCCTAGCAGTGCTCAGGGATGCTGGGAATCAACCCATATCGGCTGCATGCAAGGCAAATGCCCTCCCCGCGGTGCTATTGCTCCAGCCCCAGCAGTGGGGCTTTGAAGGCTGAATAGAAGTTGGCTGGGATCTGGGGTCAGAAACGGCAGAAGTGGGGCTCGAGATGTGCTTGAGGAGAGGCTCACGTGCCCCCAGGGACTGGGCATGAAGTGTCAGGACAGTGGGTGCCAGTTCTGTGTGTACCTTGCACCCCCGAGGCTGCTCAGCCCTGGGGCCCCGCTTATGGGGCTGGCACTCAGGAAGCCTTCACCTGAGGCAGGGGCGTGGGAGCACCCCCACCCTATTCTTCAGAGGACACCAGGAGGCCCCAGGGCCTCTCCGCCCCTGTCCTTTACGCTTTCTGACTTTGCGGCTAGTTCCCAGTCGGAGGGAGGGGGGCCGGCTGCAGCTTCAGGCAGGGACCCCAGGCCCCCTGTGTATAGAGCCTGTGTCAGCCCCTGAGTGCTCCCTGGGGCCCCCCCATCACGGTCCTTTTCACAGAGTGGAGTACAGATGGCAGATGACAGGAAAGTTGGGTGAAGCCTTCCTGGGGGCTGTGACTGAGGGGTGGAAACTGGGAGATCCAGTTTTGGTTTGGGGGGCCACACCCAGCAGCCCTCCTGGATCACTCCTGGAGGGCGTGGGGGGACATTCTGGGTCCATCACATACAGATCACGGGCTCTCCCCGCCGGACTATGCTCCAGTCCCTGGGAGACCCGGGAGGTGATGAGTGAACCCTAAAATAAGCCCAGGCAACCAAAACAAGACAGAAACGATCAAACAGGCCCGGGAGAGGGTCAGCGGGCCAGAGTGCAAGCTTCGCACAGGGGGGCCCCATCACCGTAGGGTCCCTTAAGCACGGCCAGCAATGGACCAAATGCCCCCACCCCCATATACACCAAGTAAAACGAGCCAAGGGGACTGGGGGGGACTCACTTTGAAAAGTCCCTTTGGAAGAAGTCAGTGGTCAGAATGAAATCTCAGCCCATCGCGACCCCTCTGTGGCCACTCACTGATCAGTCCCACCCACACAGCTGGGCGACCTCTGGCCAACGCTCTCTCCCAAGCCTCACATCGTCCGGGTATAAAGAGCATCTTGCAGTGCTCAGACCCGGCTCCCTGCGAGCATGAGGGGAACTGAGAAGTCTGAGAAAGAGCGCATTGCCAGGAGGGCGTTTGCCGCGCGTGACCAACCTGGGATCCATCCCCGGCCTCCCAGTTGGTCCCCCCCACACACACCGAGCACTGCCAGGAGTCAGCCCTGAGCATCTCCAGGTGTGGCCCCCAGACCAAAAACACAAAAGGGAGCTCTGGGGCGGAGAAGGGAGGCGTTTGCTGGGGGCTGGCCGCTCTTCCTCCCCACCATCATCCTCTGTGGACCCCCAAGGCAAGGGGTTGTGGCCGGGCGGCCAGGCGGGGCGAGGAGGAAGCGGGAGGCCCCAGGGGAAGGCGACTGGGGCCCCTCACTCGGGCCCTGTCACCCAGGCCACAGTGGCGCCTCCTCTAGCCCGGTCCCGAGAGGCCCGGCGTTGCCCTTGGTGCCAGCGGATTGTTTTCGGCCGCGTGGGCCCGCCTCCGGCTCCGGGAGACAGGCCCGGGCGTCACACTCCCTGTCTCCCCATTCTCGTCTGCGGGGCGGGGGCAGCCAGGATCCGAAAAGGCCCCAAAATAAATGGGCCTCTTATCTGATCTCCCAGCATGGCCGTTATCTGATCATTACATAATGGCCAGGCCCGTGGCCTCTCCCGCCAGCTGACGGCAAGGAGGAGGTGGCCGGGGCGGCCCCCGCCGTCGGGGAGGAACTGGGGTTCCTGGAAGTCTGGGGAGGGGGTCAGGGAAAGTCCAAGGAAGGCACTGTGTGATCTGAAGGCTGGAGCCTGGGCCATGGGGGGTGGGGGGTGGGGATGTTGGGCAGGGGGGACCCTCCCCCAACGTCTCCCGCCAGCACCCTGATGCCTGCAGACCTGTCAGCTGAGAAGGGGCAGCATAGCATCTGCCAGCCTGAGACCCCCTGACACCTCCCTCAGGGGTCCCACACCTGCAGGTGTCTCCGCGTTCCTTCACCACCCACCCCCGCCCGTTATGGGGAGAGAATCCCGACGGGTCGGTTCTCCCCAATACATGCAGGGCTGTGGGTTCCTGTCCTCAAGGGAGGAAAGGGAGGAAACCCAGGTGGCAAAACCGGGTGTCAGGCCTCATTTAGGGTCCCTGCCCTCCCCAACCCTGGCATGGCCAGGCCAAGGCCAAGGCCCGCGGCGGCCACGTCCAACCTGCCTCACCTGGGGGGGGGGGGGGGGCTGTGTCCAGCCAGGCAGGACAGTCGAGACGGGGGTGGGGGAGTGGGGGGTGGGGGGGGCGAAGCCTCCCTGTGTGCCTCCCCCGGGGGCTGGCGTCGGCTGGACGTGTGGCCGGGCCCTCCGCACCCATCTTTGATCTCCAGGAAAACAGGAAGTGAGCGCGACAAGATGGAGACACTAACTTCCAAACAGTCTCCCCTTCGCTGTGTCCTTCCCTCCTCCGGAGTGGCCCCCCCCCCATCCTGCCCCCCCCCCCCCGCCCCCAGCCCCGGCACATTCCTAAGGACGAGGTGTAGGGGCCTCATTTCCTCTTCCTCCTTGCCCGGTCAGGGTGAAATTCCATTCCCTTCCCTCAGGACCTGTGCTTCTGGGCAGGCTGTGGGGCTGGCCTCCACGGCCTCCTCTGCCTCCTCTGCCGCCAGCCCCCAGAGTCGGTGCCCCCTGGCTCCTGCCATCTGGGGATGCGGGAAGGGCCCCACTCATGCCCACTCCTCCAGGTCCCTCTTGTCCCCTTCCTTCCAGGGGGGTCAGCCCGCCTGGACGGCTTGTACCCGGGCACAGACAGGGAAGTCACGAAGGAGGAGTAAACACACACACACACACACACACACACACACACACACACACTCTGCCCTATTCAATTCCAGCATCAGATAAACAAGGGAAACTTTCTAAGGGCACGCGTGTCCCATGTTCTAGTCGTTCTTTCAAAATACTTGCCGGGGTTGGGTGGGCTGGAGGGATGGTACAGAGGGTAGGGTGTTTGCCAGGTGCACGGCTGACCCAGGTTCGATCTCCGGCACCACCTAGGGTCCCCTGAGCTTCGCCAGGAGGGATCCCTGAGCCCAGAGCTAGGAGGAATCCCCCCTGAGCCCTTGCTGGGTGTGGTCCCCCCAAAAGCAAACAATAGAACAACACGCTCGGGGTGGGGACCCAGAGAGACGTCTCAGCCTGCTGAGTACACCCTTGGCCTCTCCGAGGCGCTGGTTCGAACCCCCCCAGCACTGCTGGGAGTGCGTGATCCCTGAGCACTGTGCGGGGAGTAGCTCCCAAGTAGTGCTGAGTGTGATCCCAAAACAAACTAGACCAGAACAGAGCTGGACAGACTGAACAGCAGGCAGGATGCTAGCCCTGCAGGCAGCTGACCCAAGTTTGATCCCCAGTTTCCCACAGGGTTCCTCGAGCCCACCAGGGGTAACCCCTGAGTACAGCCAGGGGTGGCCACACACAGACACACTTGTGAGGGCTCAGGCGTGACTAAACCAGTGCCCCAGTTGGCCCTCTGGCCCTGCCTGGCTTCTCAGTATGAGCACAGGGTGCAGAGTGCCCGTGGCTGACTGCTGCCGGCCTGAGGGGCTACCCACTTTCACTGTCCGGGAGACTGGGGATGTCGCTGCCCCCCACCCCCCACCTGGTCTCACTACTCGTCTTTCCTCTGTGGCCCCACCCAGGTCTTGGCGAAACAGTCCATTGTGACCTTCATCCCGTGGACCCTGCGGAGAGCGAGGTGACGTATGTCACGAGCCAAGTGACCGAAGGCTGCGTGGCCCGGGTCTCCAATGCTTCTCTGGAAATGCACGTCTTCTTCCTGGACTTCTCAGCGGTGAGTCCTGAGGGGCAGGGCGCCTTCCTCGAGGGTCCCTGCAGGGGAGGACTGAGAGTGATGACATCGCAGGGACAGCTTGGGCCGAGCTTCCCGTGCAATGTGGAACCTGGGTCTGGGTTCAGCCAGTGAGCAAGAGGACGAGTGTCGGGTGGGCAATGGCTTAACACCCCCAGTGACGGGGAGCCCCTTGAGGTGGCTGTGACTTTGAGAAGTCGAGTGGCCCTGTCACACGTCTGTGCCTCGGTCAGATGGCTCCGGCCTGACCATGGCATCCTACTGCGACACTCCAGCTCCGCCATACCGTGAGGGGCGTTTCCTGTCTTCCATTGGGCAGTCTGTCACTACCCCCTTTCCCAGAGGGAGAAACTGAGGCAGGCCTGGAGAGGTGGCACCCTGCCAAGGCCGCAGTTCCCCCTGGACTCCGAGGGAACACCGGCCGGTCGTGGTCGCGATGTGGGGGATTCGGCTGAGGGTGAAGTCATGGCTGACCCACCATTTGCGCAGTGATAAGACGGTGCCCAGACCACCAGTATCGGGGGGCTTGCTCCCACCGCCCTGCCTGGCCCCATGACTGTAGGCCCCGATAATCTCCAAATGGCAGAATGGCAGATCGCCCAGCACAGGGCGTGTGGTTTCATGGTTTTGTCACTATTGTCATTAGTTCAAGTTTGGGGGTTGTGGGGACAGCAAGCCCCCGCCCCCGCCACACACACACACAGCTCGCTGTGCCTGCTCAGATCTTGGGCCCCCTTGGAGAATCTGGGCCCCCGGCACCATCCCTCGACGTTGGGCCAGGCAGAGAAAGGGGCGCCACCCCTTAGGCAAGGACCCATGAGCAGCAGGTGTGTGGAACAGGTGGGGCCCAGGTGCCCAGGGGGGCACCAGGGAGGGGTGCCCAGTTGCTCGGGGGGCATCAGGGCACCATGGGTGAGGCTGAAGGGCAGCCCCTGAGGGAAAGGGGGTCGGTAGGAAGCCCTGGGGAGTGCCCCGATGGGGTCCTGGAAGGTTGGTGTAGGCAGAACTGGGGTGCCCCTGGACCAGGGCTGGGGAGATAGGGACGTCCCCGGGGCTGCAGGACAGGGCAGGGACAGGGTGTTGTAGCTGGGGTCGTCCCCGTCTGCATCTCCTGCAGATCTCCCAGGGCTGCCCATCGGTGGGGATTGGGATTGTAGCCCCCACCTGTCCTTGGCTGGACCCTCATGCTGCATCTCCCATGTAGGAGGCCTCCTTACAGATGCATGTTTGGGGTCCCTCCAAGCCGTCTTAGGGGGCCCTAAGGGGTACTTGCAGTGATACTTGGCCTGGCAGGAGGACCCTGAAGATTCAGTGCTCAGGCCAGCAGTGCTGGGGCCACCAGGGTGACAGGGTCCGTCTCGGGACCCCTCCATGCACCCAGCCCCACCCAGCCCCGGGACACACGTTTTTTGGGTCCGGGGTCTTTCTGGAAAAAAAAAAAAAAACAGATTCTGGCCAGGGTGAGTATATTCCAGAGTCCGCTAAATAAAGAATGAATGCATGCACCTGTGAAAATGAATGCATGTTCGAATTCATGCACGCTCAGATGCGTGCATGAATAAATGCACGTTCCAGCGGCGCAAATGAAGATACTCACGACTGAATGATGCTTGGATGCATGCATGCACAAACGCATCCAATGCACAAATGCATGCACGCGTGAAGTGAGCCGAGCGGCCTGGAACCTGAACGTGGGTTTCTGTCGTGTGGACACCGGGCCTGGCCCCCACCCCTGAGCTGTGAGAAGGGAGTGTGGAGGAGGTGCTGGGAGCGAGCTTGGTGGGCTGGGGGGCTGTGACAGAGCTGTGTCAGGCTGCCTGGAGCAGCAGTGGGGACCTGGTGGCCTGTCAGCCTGTCACCCACCCTTCTTGGCAGCATGCACTCTGGTGCCCATTGGTGCCTCTGAGGTCAGGGCCTCCAGGGAAGCCAGGCAGAGGCCACACCCATTTTCTTTCTTTCTATTTTTTTTAAGTTCAATTTTTTTTGGGGGGGAGTCACACCCGGCAATGCACAGGGGGTACTCCTGGCTCATACACTCAGGCGTTACTCCTGGAGGTGCTCAGGGGACCCTATGGGATGCTGGGAATCGAACCCGGGTTGGGCCGCGTGCAAGGCAAACACCCCCCCCTGCAGTGCGATCACTCCAGCCCCCACAGACCCATTTTCCCATTTTCTGAGGGGCAGCGGAGGCTGCTGGGGGGGTGGGGGGTGCTTCACATGCGTGCGCATACCACGCACACGCAGACATGCACGCACATACATGGGCATCCGCACACATGCTCCCTCGCGCTTCCCCGTCAGACCCTTCGCTGGTCTTTCCTTGGGGGTGGGTGAAACCTGGCTCAGTGCTTGGGGCTTACTCGCATCAGTGCTCAGGAGGAGCTGGGGTCCTGGGGCCCCCCGCCCTTTGAGCCATCTCCCCGCCCCGCGCTCCTCTTCCTAAAGGCCGGCTCGTGCCCACCTGTGCCGGGTGCTGAGCTGGCTGGGACCAGGGTGCTGAGTAGCACCCTGGGGATGGGGGTGCCCGAGAGGGGGCGAGGGCTGCGGTCTGGAGGCGGGAGGCAGGAGGCAGGAGCTTGGAGCCGAGCAGGCCCGCAACCCCGACCCTCCTGTCCTCCCGCGCCCCCTCCGAGCCCGGTTTCCTGTGTAGGTGGCCGAGGTCTGGGGTTCGGGGCAGGCAGCGTGTGCGCACGCCGGGGAGGTTGGCGGACAGAGCGGGGGCCCCGCCGCCAGGGGCACGATCTCCGGGCCCCCGAGGGGCCAGGCCGGAGCCTGGATTCCGGGAGGGGGCCGGGGTCACATCCTGACCCGCAGACAGGAAACCGGCCTGGTGTCTCAGCGGTTCCCGGCTGTCCTCCTGACCAGAACAGAGCCGGTAGCCGCTGATTCACCCCTTTTCTGGGCAGCCTTGGGGAACCGAGATGCCCCGCCCTGCAGCAGCACCCCCCTCCGAGTCCTGACTCATCCGGAGATCAGACGAAGGGGCAGGTGAGACTGCTCAAGGCAAGGGGGGGGGGTCAGAGGGACCCCGGGGCTCCCCCAGAGCATCCTGGGAACTGCCCTTCCCCCCAATTAGAGATGTCTCTCCGCTCCAGCTGGGGGGCCCTGCTTACGTGAAGGACTGTGCCCCCAACCCTGCTTCTCCGTGCCGGCACTGCTCTGGGTGGCCCAGCACGGATGCAGGAAGGCCGCCTGCCCGGGCTCCGTCTCATCCTCCCAAGGGACACAGCATGACTGGGGGCTCGCACTGAGGGTCTCCTCCCGGGAGGCCTCAACTCTGGGGCTGGGGCAGGCAGAGCCTGGGCACCTGGGCTGGGACGAGGGGCCAAGGGGCTCCCGTCTGTGTGCCTGTCCCAGGCTGCATGTGGGGGCCAGCCTGGGGGTCCGAGGGCCAGGTCGGAACAGCCTGTGTGCTCTGATGGCCCCCCTGCCCCCCCCCAGGGCTTAGCAAGTCCAAGTAAATACAGGTGGCAGGGGGGTGGGTGATGGCTGGATGATGAGTGGGAGGAAGGATGAATGATGGAGAGAAGGAAGATGGAGATGTGGATGGGTGGGCAGGTGGAAGGAAGGAAGGCCCAGTGGACACGAACTTGTAAGCCTTTGCTCCTTGGCCATCCTCTGGCCGATTGCGGCCTTAGACTGCACCTGTACCGATGCCTGGAGGGCAGAGTTGTGCCTTATTTTTTTCTTTTTGGGTCACACCCAGCAATGCACAGGGCTTACTCCAGGCTCTGCGTTCAGGAATTACTCCTGGAGGTGCTTGGGGGACCCCATGGGATGCCGGGGATTAAACTCAGGTTGGCAAGGCAAACGCCCTCTCCAGCCTGAGTTGTGTCTTCTTTCCCTCCCTGTTGGATGACCCCCAGCTGTTGCCTGGCACTGTCCCCTCAAATGAGTCCACCCTCAGCAGCTTCTAGGTCACGACCCTCAGATGCTTGACACTCAGGTCAGCAGGGGGCGGGCCGGAGTTCAGGGGTCACACAACACCTGAACATCCGAATCTCCTCAGGACTGAGGCCAGAGCGGGGGCACCCAGAGAAGCCTGGCGCAGTTCCAGCAACCCCCTGCCCGACTCACCCAGCATCTCCCACCCCCTGCCCACGGTGTCCCTCTGGAGGAGTGGACACGGAGAGCCTCAGAAGGAATGAGGGGACAAAGGATATCGTCCCCCCAACCCTGGGGGGGGACACAGCATCCCAATAGGGGGCACAGCATCCCAATCCTCAATTCCTTAGACACCACAGTGGGGTCCTGGCCCGCTTGCTTTATAGGGGGCCTCACCATATCCTCACAGGTCTGGGAAATCAGCGGTTTGGTGGTAGAACCCATTTTCCGGATCGGAAAACTGAGGCCCCAAGTGGGGAAAACACTGCCTGGGGTCGGGACTAATGAATGACAGGGCCAGCATTTAATACTAATATTAGGTCAGCCTGGCCGGGACCCTCACCCCCACCCCGCGCCGGCCATCCTGCCTGCAGGTACCACCCACGTCAGCTGGAGTGGACAGGCTTGGCGGGGGCACGGCCGGCCCAGGAGGGTGGGGGTACAGCAGCCCCAGGGCTCCACTCCTAGAAGAATTGCTGGAAGCGACTTTCTATAAGTGGCCACTGCTGCTCAGGGCTCCTCAGCAAAACCCCCTTCCCGCCACCTCGCTGGGCCAACAATGGCATCTGTGGGGACACAGGACAGAAATAGCAACTCGGTGTCCCGCCCACCGGCCCGCGACGGGGTCCGGGGGTTCCCGGCTGCCTGGCTGCCTCTGGGCTCCCAGAATTGCCAGGATGCCTCGGGCAGAGGGAGGTCAGGGCTGGGGGGTTTCTCTGCTCAGCCGCAGGCAGTGACCCCTACTCAGTCCCCCTGGCTGCGGGGAACCCGGCGGGGCTGACCAGTGGCTAGTGGGCTCGGTTCCGGTTCTGGTTCTCGGGTCTCTTTCTCCCTGTCCCCTGCCCTGGTCATGGCCAGACTTGACCTCCACGACTCCCCCCACTCAGATGGGTGACAGGACCTCTCTCTCCCAGTGGCTGTCACATGCGGCCCCCTGGCCCCGGGGGGTGGGGTTCGCAGAGGGGCAGAGTTGGCCAGAGACCCCAGACGTCTCTCACTCCTAGCCCCCCACCGCCTCCCGCCATGTGTAAGGCCCCCAGGTTCCTCCCCCTAGGACCGGGCGGCAAGGGGCTGGGGGCAGGCTGGGAGCACCGCAGGGTCGGGAGGAGGAGCACAGCACAGCGGGGAGGGTGCCCGCCTTGCACAGGGCCGACCCGGGTTCAATTCCCAGCATCAGGTCCCCTGACCCTGCCAGGAGTGATCCCTGAGCGCACAGCTAGAAAGAAGCCGAGTGTAGTTCAGAAAAAAAAAGGGGAAAAAAAAAAAGAAAACTTGAATCAAGGGGCCCAAGAGATGACTCAGAGCTGGAGGTCATGCTGTACCCCCCCCCCCGTTAAATAATCAAAAATGGAAATGCATCCAAACATACACACAAAGCAGATCACTTCCCTATAAACTGGCATTCAGCAAATATTCAGAAACAAACTTCGGTAAGTGCATAAAACTTTAAAAACGGGCAAGAGGGGGCGGGGACTGTGGAAAATGAACTCAGCAACGCTTTGCTCGTTTTTTGTTCGTTTTAAGGAGCAGAGAGTCCCAAACAAAGGAGGCCGCATGGTGTCATTATTGAGACCGGAAATATTTCCGCGCAGATTTTTCCAGCAGCCGCAGCCCAGAGGGCTTCGTGACAGCCGCTGGGGAAAGGGCCAGGAGATAGTTAAGAGCGAAATCCCAAACCTTTCCACCCGTGTTCTCATCCTGAAATATCCTGAGATATCCGTCTCCTTCTCTGATAACCCTCCGCGGTGAGCGGGCCCCGGGCCCTCTACAGAGCCTGCCCAGCCTCTGGAACCCATGGCTGGGTTTCCAGTGTGTGACACCCCTCCCCCCCGCCCCGTCCCTGTCCCCTGCTCCCCTGGCCCAATAGCAGGAGATCTGCCTCCTGCAGCGGGGTGGGGGTGGGCGGACGCAGGGTCCAGGGTCCTGGGAAGAACCAGCAACAACAGAAACTGCATCTGGAGGGCCGGAGCCATAGTACGGCGGGGAGGGCATTTGTCCTGTGGCCAACCTGGGTCTGACCCCCTGTGTTCTGTACGGTCCCCAAGCCTCCTCACCAGGAGTATGTTCCCAAGTGCAGAGTGGGTGTAACCCAAACCCCCCCCCCCCAGAAAAATATTATATCTGGCTAGTAGGAGGGCTGGAGCGATAGCACAGTGGTAGGGCGTTTGCCTTGCACGTAGCCGGCCCAGCTGAGCCAGGTTCGATTCCTCCATCCCTCTCAGAGAGCCCGGCAAGCTACCAGAGTCAGGAGTAAGCCCCGAGCACTACCAGGCAAGAGTATCTCGCCCGCATGGCAAAGCCTGGCAAGCTCCCCGTGACGTATTCGATATGCCAAACACAGAAACAACAAGTCTCACAATGGAGACATTACTGGGCCCGCTTGAGCAAATCGATGAACAACAGGGGGACAGTGACAGTAACAGTAGAGTGGAGGCTGCTCTGGGGCACAGCCTGGTTCCAGATTCCGGGCACCGTGGGGAAAGGACACCCCCACACCCCCCCCAGCACACCCCCACTCCGGACCTCAGGAATTGATCAGCTGCGTATTCCCCGGAAGATGGAGTCAGGCCTAGAATCCAGGGAGCACCGTTCCCCCTAAGTGAAAACAGCAGCAGCTATTTCTCAGGGCAGATGCGCCTGTGATGCCCTCGGCACAGTCCGGGGCCACAGTGTCCCCAGCAGGAGCTGTTACTGTCCCTTTTTTCCTGAGAGCAATATAAATGCAAACCCAAACGCCCTGCCAGGAGGGATCCCTGAGCACCACTGTGTGTAAGCCAAAGACAGTGGTAGGGCGTTTGCCTTGTGTGCAGCCAGCCGGGCCGAGCTGGGTTCGATTGCTCCGCCCCTCTCGGAGAGCCCGGCAAGCTACCGAGAGTATCTCGCCCGCACGGCAGAGCCTGGCAAGCTCCCCGTGACATATTCAATATGCCAGTAACAACAGGTCTCAGAATGGAGACGTTACTGGGCCCGCTCGAGCAAATCGAACAAACGGGAGGGCAGTGACAGTGATATCAGCTCTTTCAGAAGCTGTGAATAGGCTCTCGCAGAGGGCTGGAGAGAGAGTGCAATGGTTAAGGCACTTGTCTTGCATGTGGTCAGCTCAAGTTTAATCCCGGCGCCCCATAGGGTCCCCTGAGCACTGCCAGGAGCGGTCCCTGAGCACAGAGTCAGGAGTAAGCCCTGAGCACTGCCAGGTGTGGCTCACCTCCCACATATAAGTAGATATGTGCACTTATGAACATTCTTAGACAATATCGAAACTGTGTTATTAGGGACTGGAGCAATAGCACAGCGGGTAGGGCATTTGCCTTGCATCCGGCCGATCCAGGTTCGATTCCCAGCATCCCACATGGTCCCCCGAGCACGGCCAGGAGTCATTCCTGAGTGCAGAACCAGGAGTAACCCCTGAGCACCGCTGGGTGTGACCCAAAAAGAAAAAAAAAACTGTGTTATTAGATCCACAAAAAGAGACATTTCGGGGCAATAGGAATACCGGAAGTGGGCGGGCAGCAGCCCAAAGCTGGGGTCTGAGAAGGGCGCAGGGCACGTCTCACCGTCCAGACGCTGTTAGACTGGGACATGACAGGGGCTCAGGATATACCTGGATCTGCTGCTGGAGAGAGGCGCCTGGCATGTTTGGGGGGCCTCCTTGGTGGGGTGGAGGGCTCCACCTGCCCGCCGGGGTGGTGCCCCAGGGCCAGGCTTTCGGGGGGGGTCCAACCTTGAACTCTCTCCCTGACAGCTCCTAACTTTTCCCCCCTCGTAGGATCTGCTAGGGACCGACCCTTCGTTCCTTCAGCAGGTCAGGCTGTCCAGACAGCCACGTGACTGTCTGTTTGTCCCTCTCTTGTCCCCCCCGCAGGAGGTGTCTAAGCTGGAGTTGACTGTCCAGTCATCAGAACTAGAAGGCCCCGGGTCCCCAGAAGTGCACCTGGTGCTCAGCGTGACCAAGTCCGTCTTCCTGCATCTGCACAGCCCCCCCGGGATCCCGCTCCACCTGTTTGCGGTGCGTGTGGCTCAGGCCCCCGCGGCCTCTGTCTGTGGTTCCCAAGGGCCCTGCCGGAGAGTCCCCAGGCACGGAGGACCCCAGGGCAGCAGGCTCTCAGGTAGAGTCTGCACCAGGGCTGGAGGGGTGGGATAGCAGGTAGGACGCATGCCCCGTGCACAGCCAACCTGGGTTCGATCCCTCGCACCACCTCTGATCCCCCTGGGTGATCCCTGACACAGACAGAGATGGGGTCAGGGCCTGACAGCCCTCCCTGCTCCTCACCCCTAGCCTCAGTCTTCCCATCCGCGCAGTGGGAGCAGGGGGCCCAAGGATGTTCCAGTCACCTTGCCGCAGTGATAAGACTCTTCCCTTTGGAAATCTTTTCACATGAGGGAAGGAGCCAGGGGTCACCCCACAGCGCCAGCAGGCCTTTAGGGCAGGGGTGAGACAGACATCTGGGTCTCCATGCTGAGCAGAATTTGTGAGGTCAGCTGCAGTGAATAAATCTTTTTATTTTTTTTTCCTTTTTGGGTCACATCCGGCGATGCACCGCGGTTACTCCTGGCTCTGCACTCAGGAGTTACTCCTGGTGGTGCTCAGGGGACCATATGGGATGCTGGGAATCAAACCTGGGTTGGCTGCGTACAAGGCAAACACCCTACCCGCTGTGCTCTCTCTCCAGCCTCAAACAAACCATTTTTTAAAAAACTCCTCTTTGAAGTGCGCTCCATCAGAGAGCAGAGGTCAGTGGCGGAGCCCCAGAGTGGGACCTCAGGTAGATGGAGCGGGGGACGCACCCCCAGAAGGGAACAGCTGTTGTTACCGCCTGAGAAAACAGAGGCTGGAGGGGTTGGAGCAATAGTACAACAAGGAGGGTGTTTGCCTTGCATGCGGCCGACCCGGGTTCAATCCTCACCATCTCATTTGGTCCCCTGAATTGGCCAGGAGTCAGCCTTGAGCATCACTGGGTGTGGCCAACAGAAAGAAAAGGGAAAAAAAAAAAAGCAGAAGCCGAAAGGGAGAACTGAGCCAGCCACAGCCGGAAGGGTGCAGGGGAGAGCTGGTGGCCTTTGGGGGGTGGGGGTGGGGTGGCAGGGGGGAAGCGGGGCGGGAGGGGGCCCAACACCCAGACCCCTGTGGCTGGAACACAGGGAGGAGGTGGGGGAGGAGTCCAAACTGGAGCAACAGACAGGCAGAGGACAGATAGACAGATGGATGGGTGTGTCCCGCAGGCAACCCTGAGGGAGAGAAACAACCAAGAGGCGCTCGGAGGCTGAGGTGGACCAGCCCACAGGGCTTCCCCGGCCTGGCAGGGGGAGTACTCACCCCCCCACCCAGTCCCAGCCGGGCCCCTTCCGGGAAGGAAGGTGGAAGGTCACGGGCCTCCTGCCCACCTTCCTCTCTGGGCTAAGAAAACCCAGACTGGGGGCAGGAGTGACGGGAGCCATTGTCAGCACCGAGTTAGAGGCTGGGGAACCTCCACAGAGCACACAGCCTGTCTGGGGGCGTGGCCCCACACCAGACTTGGCACACGCACCTGGCCCCGTCACTAGGTGCTTGTGTTGGGGCCCTGCTATGGGGTCTGTTATGGGGGTCTCCTGTTATGGGGGCCACTGTATAGATGCTGCTGCTGAAGGGTCAGCTGGGTTCCCTGCCCCCCGCAATCACCCTCCCCTCTGGACCTCAGACCCAGCCCTTCCATCATGGGGTCAGGGGTCTGCACCCCACTGTTAAGGTTCAGCCCCAGGCTAGGCGCACAGTCACTACTGCCCCTGGTGGAAAGTCCTGCAGCCCTCAGTGCAGTTGCTCCTGGCCTTGGGGAGGGAACTCAGAGCACCTGTCTCTGACCACCTCCACCAGGAAGTCCTCCCTGATTGCTTCCCACAGCCTGCCCTGAGCCATGGGCATTGGAGGGGGCTGGGGGCTGGAGCTGTTCCCATCCCAGGCCCACCTGTTCTGCTCATTTGTGTCTTGCTAAATAAAATATTCCCCATCTTCTGCTGTTTCCATAACCTGAGGCCTAGCTAGTTTCTGGGTGTTGAGCTTCTCCCAGGCTGAGGCTCACCTCTGTCTGCCGTCCATCCCTCATCCATCCACAAGCCACTTATCATCCATCATCCACCCATCATCTATCCGTCCATCCATCCATTTATTTCCTCTTTCTGCCCTTCCCAGGGCCACAGCTGCCTCAAGCCAGACCTGAGGATGAGGCTGATGCAGGTGTCCCGGAAGGGTTCAGCAGGGCTCATGTCCTTGCTCACAGACCAGCAAAGACAACCCGTCAGCCATGAGATGTTACTAGTTGTGGGGGACTGAGCAAGATGCCCCTGGGCACGGCGAGGGGCAGGCCTGACTCTGGGGATGGGGGTGGGGGGTCCAAATTGCCCAGAATCTACAGAGCCAGCGCTCAGCTGGGCATGAGCATCTGGGGCCCAGGAACTGCGCCTTGAACCTCCACATGCCTCCCCAGGACCCCCTGGTCATCTTGCCAGACCCCTCAGGAATCAGCCGCACACTGCTGCCATCCTTCTCCACCCTGAAGGAGCTGGTCACCTGGGCTGCTGCGAAGGGCCCTGTGGCCTCGGCGGCCCAGCTGAACAATCCTCAGAGAATCCTCCTGCGGCTGGACCAAGGTCAGTGCCCTGTGCCTCCTTTCAGCTCAGGGCTGCACTCGGGAGTGGCCTGTGAGCCCATTCCCCAGATGTGGCCACTGAGGCTCCATGAGGGGCAGAGACTGCCCCCCCAGGCCGCACTGTACTGGCTCCTTGACCGCGGTCCAGCCTGAGCCACACAAACTCGCCTTGGCTAGGCCTTGGACGTCAGAGGCGGACCTTCTCTGTGACTTGCTATGCAGCTGCAAGGGGCCAGTGCTGGGCACAGCGGGGTCTGTGGCAGAGCCAGACCCGAGCTCCTGGAGCTGTCACTGGGGGGAGGTGACAAACCAGTGATGACCCCGGTCATCCCAGGCCTGGGCAGAGTGGGCTGAACCATCGGTGCCAGGGCCCACTGACAGATGAGACAGGCGAGGCCCGGGCCCCGCAGGCCGAAAGGGAGAGTCCAGCTCCCCTCCACCCCGGCCCCGCACTCGGGGGCTCCATCCCGCAGCCCCTGTTTGGGTTGTGGGCGAGAGGGGGCCTCGGTGTGAGGCTACTCAGCAGGACACTGAGGCGTGCTGGTCCCCCGCAGCCCCGGGATCACCGCCGCCCTGTAATCCGGAGCCCCACGTGGACATGGGCCGCACGCTCGAGTGGCAGCCTCGCTCCGGGGTTCCCGTGCAGAGCTGCCGGTTGGAAGGGGTGGCCGGCCACAAGGAGGCGCACATCCTGAGGGTCCTGCCCGCGCTGGAGGCCAGGTGAGGCAGCCCGGCCCCGCCCCGCCCCGCCCCAGCCGCCTCGGCCCCGCCCCATCTGCGCAGGCCCCGCCCCAGCCGCCTCGGCCCCGCCCCATCTGCGCAGGCCCCGCCCCAGCCGCCTCGGCCCCGCCCCATCTGCACAGGCCCCGCCCCAGCCGTCTCCGCCCCGCCCCAGCCATTTTTGCCCCGCCCCAGCAGTCTCCGCCCCACCCCAGCCGCCTCGGCCCCACCCCATCTGCACAGGCCCCGCCCCAGCCGTCTCCGCCCCGCCCCAGCAGTCTCCGCCCCTCACATCTGCACAGGCCACGCCCGTCTACATCGGCCCCGCCCATCCACACAGGTCCCGCCCACCTACCTAGCCCCGCCCCGTGGGTTCAAGCCCCGCTCCGTTCCCACGCCCATCCCCACCTCCCGACCCCACCCCAACTCCCGCCCTGCCTTGATGCGGGCCCTGGGACCCCACCAGCCCGCTCCTGCCCCTCAGGCCCCAGACAGTGACCGTGAAGGTGGAACTGAGCTGCCCTTCGGGGGACCCCGATGCCGTGCTCATCCTTCAGGGCCCGCCCTACGTGTCCTGGCTCATCGACTCCAACCACAACATGCAAATATGGGTGAGTCTGGCCCCGAGGTCCGGGGATCCCACGCTCGCTTTCCCCCAGCCCCCTCTTCCCAAGGAGAAACCCCGGATTTCTGGCACTACCACCTCTGCCCGGAGCCTTCCCCAGGGACAGATCTTTGCCCTTTCCTTCCGCACTGTCCAGTAGGGCAGACAACCTCCAGGGAAGCACCTCCTCCAGGAAGCCTGCCAGGATCCCTTAGAGAGGTCCCTAACCCAACCCACCCCGCAGGGTCAGAGGAGACTCCTGGAGAACGGAACCCTTATGTTTGTCAGAGAGGAGCCAGTGCTTTCTGGAAAGGGTGTCCCAGGCAGGGAAAACAGAAAGCGAGGAGAGAGCAGGACAGGGAGGGGAGGCGCTTGGCTCACCCACCCGTGACGGCGTGTGCGACCCCCCCTCCCCGGTGCTGCCCTCCCCCGCTGCAGACCACTGGCAAATACTCCATCAAGATCTTCCCCGACAAGACCATCCCTGGCTTCGTGCTCCCGGACACGACCCAGGGCCTGCTTAGGGAGGCCCAGAAGCTCAACGCCAGCACCGTTGCCACCTTCGCTGAGCTGCCTCTGGCCAGTGAGGTGTCTCTCCTTGCCCGCAGCTGCGGTGAGTGCCCGCTGTCCTCGCCTAGTGGGGGGTCCCCGCCTGTCCCCAGGGGCCTGTGGACATAACTCGCTTCCCAAGTGCTCAGACTGCCCCCCCACCCCCATAGGCGGCGGGCTGCAGACCACCCTTGCTCCGGTTCAGACCACCCCCTCCAGGGAGATGTGTGACCAGACGTTGCTGCTGTCACTGGTCCAGCCCACGTGTGCTGAGGACACCATGACCCTCGTGCTCAAGAAGGAGCTCACGGAGGTGAGTGCCCCAGCTCCGGCACGGTGGGGGCTTGGCCAGCTCTAGACGCTGGGGCCCCCAGCCCAGGCAGGGGCCACATCTCCACAGGCCTCAGCGTCCCCTCTCTGGGAACGAGGCTCAGGGGCCTGGATACGGCTCAGTGGGTGGGGCGTGTGCTTGGCCTGCCGGAGCCCCAGGACCCATCCCCGACACAGCACAGTGACCCTGAACACTGCCAGGTGTGGCCCCCCAAGCATCCTCCCCCAAAATGGGGTTAATAATGGCCCTTGCACTGAGGTGGGAATGAAGTGGGTCCGTCTGCTCCCTGGGGCCATTGTGGCATCTGGTGAGAATTTTAACTGATGTTCCCCAGGTCAGGGACAGAAGCAACTTCCCACAGACACAGGAGCTCTGCCGCTGAGCTCCAGTCTCCTGGGAAGCTTGGGGAGGGGCAGTATTATACTGAATGGGGGCTGATCTGGGCCATCACGCACATGTGATAGAAGATAATAGATTTTAGTAGAAACAAAGACTGGGGGTCGAGAGAGCACTACAGGGAGAGCACTTGCCTCACAGCCAGTCGGTCCAGGTTCCATCTCCAGCATCCCATACATCCCATATGGTCCCCCAAGAACCACCAGGAGTGTAGAGCCAGGAGTAAGCTCTGAACACAGCCAGGGTAACCCAAGACCTGAAATAAAAAAAACAGAGACCTGGGCCGGAGAGATGGTACAGGGGTTAAGGCTCTTTCCTTGCATGCTGTTGACCCTGGTTGGGTTCCCAGCACCATGTATGGTCCCTGCTGGGTATAGCCCAACTGCATCCCACTGACCAGTTTAATTAAAAAGTGACTTGGGGAGGGGGGGCTGGAGCAATAGCACAGCGGGTAGGGCATTTGCCTTGCACGCGGCCGACCCGGGTTCGATTCCCAGCATCCCAAATGGTCCCCCGAGCAACGTCAGGAGTGATTCCTGAGTGCATGAACCAGGAGTAACTCCTGTGCATCGCTGGGTTTGACCCAAAAAAGAAAAAAAAATTTTAAAAAAAGTGACTGGGGATGTAAAGATAGTATAGCAGGGAGGGAGCTTGCTTTGCACACGGCCAACCCAGGTTCGATCCCCGGCATCCCATGTGGTCTCCTGAGCACTGCCAGGAGTGATTTCTGAGTGTGGAGCCAGGAGTAACCCCTGAGCATTGCTGGGTGTTGCCCCAAAACAAAACAAAAAAGTGACTATTTTTTTTAATGTGGAAAAATTGAAAACAAACAAAAAAATCAGTTTTTCCACCAAAGGGCAGTTGCTACCAAAATTTTGATATTTCTTTTTGAAATTCCCTCTGTATGTATCTTAGGTAATCTAATATTATCAAATATAGCTGTCTGCCCCTCCTCTATAATCATTGAACATTTAAAAAGTTGACAGATATTTGATATCATTAGGAGTAAACATTGTATATTGGTAATAGATGATATTGCTCATATCAATATTATTGATATTCTGCCATATCTTGTTAGGCAGGCATATAGGTTGTTTTTAATTCTGTAATGTTACTACTACATGGAAAATGCCACTGTGCGTGAACTTTTCCTTTGTCTAGGATTATTGTCATGGAGTAGATTTCCACTTAGTACTATATTTCCATTGAGACTGCTGGGTCCCCATGGGTGAACATTCTGGAAGTTCTGTTTTGTGTTGCCAACCCACTCCACTTTCCAAATGATGAGTCTGATTTTCACTGTAAATTTAGAAGATAAATCTCTCTCTCTTTTTTCTCTCTCTCTCTCTCCCTTCTCTCTCTCTCTCTCACACACACACACACACACACACACATTATCTTTATTCTGTCTTTGTTGGGACCACACCTAGCAGTGCTCAGGACTTACTTCTGACTTTAAGCTCAGAGATTGCTCCTGGCAGTGCTCAGGGGACTATATGGGGTGCTGGGGATTGGCCTTTGGGTGGGCAGTGTGTGAGGGTGGTGCCCTGCCTGCTGTACTGTCTCTCCAACTTATGACTATCATTCTCACTGAATATAGATTCTTTGTTAGGATTCTTGTCATTTGGGCAGTAGTATTTGTTTGGGGGTCACACCAGGGCTTATGAGGCAAGCGCCGTATCCACTGAACTCTCTGACCGGCTGGAGCGATAGCACAGCGGGTAAGGCGTTTGCCTTGCACACAGCCAACATGGCCGACCCGAGTTCGATTCCTCCGCCCCTCTCGGAGAGCCCGGCAAGCTACCGAGAGTATCTCGCCCGCACGGCAGAGCCTGGCAAGCTCCCCGTGACGTATTCGATATGCCAGACACAGTAACAACAAAGTCTCCAATGGAGACGTTACTGGGCCCACTCGAGCATATATATATATATGTATATATGTGTGTATATATATATATATATTTGTTTTTTGTTTTTTCTGGGGGACCATGAGGTGCCAACGCTCTGAGCCACCCTCCACCCCTGTACCCAGCTAGTGTACTTTTAAATCTATTGCATGTTCCAACATGAGGCCAGTCAGCTGCCCATCTGGGTTCTTTATTTCTTCTGGCCTTTCTAAGACACTCTCTCCAGATCCCTGACAAAGGGCCCATATTCTCAAGGAGTTGTTTTGGTTTTATTAAAACATACTTTTTTTTTTCTTTTTGGGTTACACCCGGTGATGCACTGGCTTTGCGCTCAGGAATTACTCCTGGCGGTGCTCAGGGGAACCCGGGTTGGCCGTGTGCAAGGCAAATGCCCTACCGGCTGTGCTATTGCTCCAGCCCCTTAAAACATACTTTTTGAGGGGAGACCACACCCAGTGGTGGTCAGGGCTGAGTCCTGGCTTTGCACTTGGAGATCACTCCTGGAGGGCCTTGGGGGACCATATGGGGCTCAGAGGATCGAACCCGGATTGGCCGCTTGCAAGGCCAGTGCCCTGCCTGCTGTCCCATCTTCCCAGCCCCCTCCCAGGGAGTTTTAGAATGATACTGAACTCTGTGGTTAGCTTTATATGGAAATTTGGGGGGTGTGAGGGGGGACCTCTAGTGAGCTCCTCCGGCTGCTGCCCCCTCCAAACCCACCCCTTTTTCTGCCTGAGGGCGGAGGAGGTGATGCAGAGACCCGAGCCATGGGCATTACTCCCCTCTGAGCGCAGTGCAGGGGCGAGGCGGGGCTGCCTCCAGACCCGCAGGGCCAAGCGTTGTCTGTGCCAGCCAGTTCCCTGGAGCCAGAGCTTGGACACTGGACTGCAGTCACTGTTATGCTTCCCCGAGCCCGAATGGGGGTGGGGGTGGCAGTTGATGTGGGGGTGACCTGGCCTTGGGGGTTCCCACATACTTGGCTGTGCTCCTTGCCGGGGCCCCACACTCAGCCGCTGTCTCCCTGCTGCGTATGAGAGCACAACAACGGGGCGAGCATCCTTTGCTGAGTGCCCGGGTCAGGGCCATGTGCCCTGGCCATGCCACTTGCACAGCTTTTACTTGTGGGCATCACCGGAGGTTGCAGCCCTTTCTGTGACACTTCCACACCAACGGGTGCCTGGGGTTGGCGGACGGCAGGGCTGCACGGCTGTGTTGGTGAATGGGAGGTCCCGGGGATCTGGACTTGTGACCTGACGCTTCTGGGGCTGGTGGTCTGCGCTCCTGCCCTTCTTCCAGGCCCCAAAGTGGGAGAGGGACCGAGCTCATGTGTGTGTGGACCACCTGGGTTCAACCCATGGTAGTGCAACCAGGGCAGCCCTGAGCACAGAGCCGGGAGTATCTCCTCCTGAGCACTCTCCGGTGAGGACCCCAACAGAACAGAATAAGAAGGGAGCACCAGCATCAACGTCTGAGCAGGTTCACGCCCCCTGCGGAGCTCACCAGCCTCCCCACAGGTGACAGTCTGTGTAGCGCTTTGAGTTCAGGACCTGGTGGCATAGGGGTCACCCAGTGCCATTTCTGTGGGCAGGACTGAGGCCAGCAGTAGCGGTCAGGGACGGGCTACTGGAGCGGAGACTGGGAGGCTGACCGGACTCGAGGGGCCCTTCTGGTGGCCACTATAAGCCCCCGAGGGTCTTTGATCCCGAGTGGGAATGAGGAATTCCACGATTTGATTCTTCTGAGGAGGAAGAGAGCAAATGATGGCCCTCCTTGTGTGTTTGTGTAAATAAAGTTTTATTGGCATGCAGGCCCCGGCCCTCAATTTGCACATCCGCATGATGTCTTGGTTGCTTTCCTAATTGTTGGAGACCACGTGGTCTGCAGAGCCCACCAACGATTACTGTCAGGTTCTTTGTGTTGTGTGTAGGGTGGGCAGTGAGAGGGGCCAAGGGGTTGGCGCATATCGAGGGCCTCAGGGATCACTCCTGGAAGGGCTCTGGGGACCATCTATGGTGCTGGGAATAGACTGTGCAGTGTGACCCCCAAAACAGAAGAGAAAAAGCTGTTTGACAAGCCCAGCTCTAGAGTCCATTTTGGAATCGATTGGCTGGGAGGTGTGTGTGCCCTTAGGAACATGGCAAATTTGTGCATTAGAATCCACCTGCATCTAGTTTAAGTTTTACCTATTTTGGGATTGGGGGGGGGGGGAGAGCCATACCGGGCTGGAGCGATAGCACAGCGGTAGGGTGTTCGCCTTACAAGCGGCCAACATGGCCGACCCGAGTTCGATTCCTCCGCCCCTCTCGGAGAGCCCGGCAAGCTACCGAGAGTATCTCACCTGCACGGCAGAGCCTGGCAAGCTCCCTGTGACGTATTCGATATGCCAGACACAGTAACAACAAAGTCTCCAATGGAGACGTTACTGGGCCCGCTCGAGCAAATCGATGAACAACGGGATGTCAGTGACAGTGACAGTGGGGGCCATACCCACTGGTGCTCAGTTCTTACTTCTGGCCCCTTGCTCAGGGATCACTCCTGGTAGGCTCCGGGGACCTATGGCTCGCTGGGGACCAAATCTAGGTGGTCTGGGGGCTGGAGCGATAGCACAGCTGGTAGGGTGTTTGCCTTGCACGCAGCCAACCTGGGTTCAATTCCCAGCATCCCATATGGTTCCTCAAGCATCGCCAGGAGTAATTCCTGAGTGCAGAGCCAGGAGTAACCCCTGAGCATCAGGTGTGACCCAAAAAGAAAAAAACAACAAACAAAACAGGTAGGCCACATACAAGGCAAATGCTCTACCAGCTGTACTAATCATCCCAGCCCCCACCTGCGTTTATTTTAATGGTTTTTTTTTCCTCTCCCTTTGGATTTTGGGCCATACCCAGCCATGCTCACTGACTGGCTCTGCACTGGGGAATTACTCCTGGTAGTGCTTGGGGGACCATATGGGATGCCAGAGATTAAACTTGGGTTGGCCGGGTACAAGGCAAGTGTCCTCCCCACTGTCTCCCTCTATTTTAATAACATTAAAAGAAAGACACAAAGTAGCTAAGCCGTGGCCATGCTCACATCTTCCTGCCTTGCACAGGGTAAGGTTTTTTAGGGAGCTCTATCTGCTGGTCTCAGGGCTACGCCTGCTTTGGTGCTTAGGGGTCACTCCTAGTGGTACACAGGAGACCGCGTGGTGCTGGCATGAACACAGGGCGGGTGTTCCATCCCCTGAGCCATCCCTCCAGCACAAGGGTTGTTTGGTTTTGTGTCTACATCGAGTAGTGCTCAGGGCTTACTCCTGCACTCAGGAATCACTCCTGGCAGGGCTCAGGGATCGAACCCAAGTCTGCTGAGGCCAAGTCAAGCACCTTATCCACTGTACTAGCTCTTGGGCCCCAAGATTTTTTTTTTTTTTGCTTCTTAGGTCACACCCAGCGACGCTCAGGGGTTACTCCTGGCTCATGCACTCAGGAATTAACTCCTGGTTGTGTGGGGGGGTCCATATGGGATGCTGGGAATCGAACCCGGGTCAGCCTCATGCAAGGCAAATGCCCTACCCGCTGTGCTATCTCTCCAGCCCCCAAGATTTTCATTCTTAAATGACGTGATTGAGCAAAACTGGAGAGGAGAGGGCGTAGGGCGCTTGCCTTGCACCGAACTGAGTTCTGTCCCCAAAAACCCCACATGGTTCCCTGAGCACTGCCAGGAGTCATTCCTTAGTGCATCAGCAATGCCGGGTATGCCTCCCCGCTAGAAACTAAGAGTGGAGCAGGAGGCATGGGGGGCCTGGGGTGGGTTTGACAGGCCCCGGCACTGGTCCCTGATGCCCCCCTCCCCCCACCTTAGAAGCTGGGCTGTGCCATCACCGGGATGAGTTTCAGGGATGCCGGCTGCCAGGCCGAGGACAGAGGTGACCACTTCATCCTGCACAGCACCTACTCTGACTGCGGCATGGAAGTGACGGAAAACGTGGCCAGAAACGAGGTGAGGGCCGGGGCCCAAGGCGGGCAGGTGCTCCCCATGTAGGGACCCCTGGGGGGGAGCAGCGAGGGCCTCTGGGATGGGGTCAGAACGAGCCCTGACCGCTCTCCACTCTCTCCCTGCAGGTGGTCATCAGTCTCTTGGCAAGCTCATCGCCGCAGCGGGTGAGCTGGCTGTCACCGTGCTCAGCATCCTTTCCAGGGGGCTTGGGGGCCCCTTCTGAGCCCTGGAGGGAGTAGGTCTCCGGAGACTCACGCCCCGGTCCTGACCCTGGAACCAGTGTGCCTCAGTTTCCCCCCATCCAGTGGGAGCAGCACCATTTAGGGCTCCGTTCTCTGCCTCTTTAAGTCAGCAGGATGCTTGACCTTAGGCAAATCACTTAAGTCTTCTGGACCCCCCAGGTCCTTTCTGTGCCGGGGACGTGGCCCTAAGGAAGGACACCCTCTTTCTCACTGCCTGGGGCTTTCTGAGCTGAGCTCAGGGCTGTGCAGTCGAGTGAGAGGCCTCCCTGCCCGCCTTCCCTCCTTCCTGGTTTTTGGGCGACACCTGGTGGTGCTCGGGGCCACTCCCGCGGTGCACGCAGAGGTGCTCGAGCAGGGCTCAGGGAACCGCATGCAGTACCAGGCATCAGAGCAAGGTGAGCTGGGGCTGGTCCGCAGCACAGCGAAGAGGACGTTTGCCTTGCACATGGCAGACCTGAGTTCGATCCCCGGAATCCCAGACGGTCCCCAGAGCACCGCCAGGAGTAATTCCTGAGCTCAGAGGCTCTGAGCATTGCCTGACGTGACGCACAAAAGGAAAACCCAAAGCAGGTTCTGCCACGTGCCAGAGAAATGCCTTCACCCCTGTTCCCTCTCTGGTCCCCACTACTGTCTCTCTAGTCCCAGAGTAAGCTCTTGGTATGCTTTCTTTTTCTTTTTGGGTTGGGACCACACCCGGTGATGCTCAGGGCTTACTCCGGGCTCTGCACTCAGGAATTACTCCTGGTGGCGCTTGGGGGACCCTATGGGATGCCGGGGATCGAACCCAGGTTGGCTGCGTGAAAGACTAATGCCCTAGCCAGTGTACTATGGCTCTGGCCCCTATTTTTTATTTTCTTCTTTTTCTATTTTTATTTTTTCGTACTGATTTATTTCCTGGTTTGGGGGCCACATCTGCAATGAGGGGGGGATACTTCTAGCTTCGTGCTTGGAGGTCACTGCTAGGGAGCTCACTGACACTGCAGGTGGGACCCCCTCCTGCATGTGAAACAGGGGCTCCGCCCCCTGAGCATCTCCCCAGCCCCAAATTCATAGTTCCTCATTGCGGTTGTGGTTTTGGTTTTGGGCTGGTGCCTGGTGTTTCCCAGGCTGACTCCTGGCTCCGCACTCAGGAACCACTCCTGGTGGAGCTCAGGGGACCCGAGGGGGTGCTGGGGATCGAACCCGGGTCAGCTCTGCACAAGGCAAGCTTCTGACCTGCTGCACTTAGCTCTCCAGCACCCAAATTCATTGTTCCTTTTTTTTTAAATGTGAGGCGCATTCTCTGCTGTCCCGTCACTACCTCGGATGCGGATGTTCTCCATCCACTGTTCTAAGTAAAATTGTTTCACTTGCAAAAACTTGAATGTTAGGGGGCCATAGTGCTAGCACAGCGGGGAGGGCGTTTGTCTTGCACGCGGCCGACCCGGGTTCGATTCCCAGCATCCCGTATGGTCCCCCGAGCACCGCCAAGAGTAATTCCTGAGTGCAGAGCCAGGAGGAACCCCTGTGCATCGCCGGGTGTGACCCAAAAAGCAAAAAAAAAAAAATCTTTAATGTTAAAAGGGGAGGTCAGTTAAGGCTAGAGTGATTGTACAGTGGGGAGAGCTCTTGCCTTGCATGTAGCTAACCTGGGTTCGCTCCTCAGCATCCCTTCTGGTTCCCTGAACTCTGCCAGGGGTAATTCCTGAGTGCAGAGCCAGGAGTAAGCCCTGTGCATCGCCGGGTGTGACCCAAAATGCAAAAAAAAAAGGGGGGGTCTGAGGCTGAGGCAATAGCATAGCGAGTAGGGCGTTTGCCTTGCATGCGGAATTGAACCCGGGTTCAATTCCCAGCATCCCATAGGGTCCCCTGAGCACCGCCAAGGATAATTCCTGAGTGCAGGGCCAGGAGGAACCCCTGAGTATCTCCAGGTATGACCCAAAAAGCAAAACAAAACAAAACAAAAAAAAACAAAAAAACAGGGGAGAAGAGGCTGGGGGCTGAGTACACAGCATCAAGGGTGGGTGCACAAGGGGGGTCGTGGTGTGATGCCCAGCACCACCTGATGCCCTGAGCACTACCCAAGTGACCCCCAAGCACTGCTGGGTGTGGCCCCAAGACATTTTTTTAAAGGGTGAGGATGAAGCGGTCAAGGGCCTGGCGCTGCCCAGTTTGACCCCCTGAGGGTCTCCCCCAACCACAGGGTCTCCCATCACCCTGAGCACAGAGCTAGGAGCAGCCCCTGCACCCCACCAACAGGTGAGGGTGAGGTTCAGGTTCCAAACGCTCCAGACCGTGACTCTGTCACCCCTGCATCCCCGGGTGCCTCGACTCACCCAGTCCCCCCCTCTCCTGCAGAAAACAGTGCACTGTGTCAACTTGGGAAGCCTCTCCTTCCAGCTGGGCCTCTACCTCAGCCCCCACTTCCTCCAGGCCTCCAACACCATCGAGCTGGGCCAGCAGGGTTTCGTACAGGTACCCCCCTCACGGGCCCCCTGCCCCCGCTTTGGTACAGACACGAGCCGGGAGAGAGCCAGCAGGGGGTGGGGGTGGCCCCCCCATGCCCCCCCAGGCTGGCGCACCATCCTCCCATCTCCCTCAGGATCCCTGAGAGCGGGCTGCAGGGGTGCAGGGCTGCCGGTGACCGCGCCCTCCTCCCCTCACCCCGGCAGGTCAGCATGTCTCCGTCCATCCCCGAGCTCACCCCGCAGCTCGACAGCTGCCAGCTGGACTTGGGGTCTGAGGGAGACAAGGTGGACCTCATCCAGAACCAGGCTGCCAAGGGCAGCTGCGTCAACCTGCTGTCCCCCAGCCCTGAGGGCGACAAGCGCTTCAGCTTCCTCCTCCGCGGATACATGGTGCACACGCCCACGGTGGGCACCCTCACCTGCTCCATCACCCTCCGCCCCAGGACTTGGACCGTGGTGAGTGGGGCCTGGGCTGTGGGTCGGGGGTTCCGGGACAGGATGAGACCGGACAGGAGGACGGGGGCAGCTCACCAGGGCCGAGCCAGTCAGATACGTGGCTTTGGGCTCCCGGGGGCATTCGTGCTGCCACCACCCTGGTGGATGCTTATCTCGGACTTGTAGCTGCAAACCTGCCTCTCGTCCCGCCCAGTCAGCCTCTATCTGTCCTTCCTCCATCCATGCATGTCTCCATTCACCAACCATCCCACCCAGTCATCCAAACCCCCATCCACCCATCCACCCATCTGCCCATCCTTCTATCCATCCACCAACCATCCCAGCCAGCCAGCCAGCCACCCATCTATCCGTCCACCACCCACCCGCTAACCATCCCACCCCATCTCCATCCATACCCACGTCCCCCAGGCCTCTGTTCCTCCATCCCCATCATCCACCGTCCGTCATCTCTCCTGCCCAGCCATCCATCCTGCTACCAGCCTTCCATCCATAACTGTCCCATCCATCACCCTTCTGCTCATCCGTTCACTGACCATCTGTTTGTCCACCCGCAGACCCACCTGCCCATCACCCAGCCACTCCATCTCTCTGCCCAATCTCAGCCAGCACCTGGGCGGGGGGCTGGTTGAGGCAGAGCCCACAATTCTATGACCATCAGCACTTACCGGCCATGCCACGTCACTCTCCAGTGGCTCTCCCTGCCCTGGACACTCATGGCCACTCCCGTGGAAGAGTCTCTGGAATTACAACCCCCTGGGGCCCACCTGGCTCCAACCTGCATGACCCCCCAAGTGGAGGGCCGCAGCTAGAAGTTGGGGCCTCCCAGTCCCTCTTGGGGAACGTTCCAACAAAGGTCCCAGTTATCCTCCGAGTCTCCTAGTACCTCCCCCAAGCCTCCTTCTGGGATGCAGAGCCAGGGCCTTGGAGCCGGGTGGGCCTGTGGCAGACTGGGGAATGTGCTGGAAGCTTTCCCCTGAAGGCCTTGCCCCTCACCACTCTCGCCCTCTCCAGGACGTGCTAAGGACTGCCTCCATCCGTCTGAACATCGTCGGGCCGGGCCTGCCTGGTGAGTGCAAGCGGAGCTTGGTCCCCTCGCTGGACCCAGCCCCAGGGTGGGCTGCTAGGACAGACGTAGGGGTGGGCATGGGGGGGAGGAAGGACCCTTGGAGTGGTGCCTGCCTCACCTGCATAAGGCGCTGTCTGCAGAGGGGGGCCTTTCAGCCTCAGACGGAAGAGCCCTGACACCCCAGCGTTATGTGGGGCAGGGCGGGCCTATGAGGTGAGTCAGGGCTGTGCAGAGGCCGAGGAGGAGTGAGAGGCCAGAGGAGGCCCCAGGTGCCTCGGCAGCGCCCATCCACTCCGGCCGGGCCCAGCTCCTGCCACCCACTGTCCCATCCCCAGGGGACAGGGGACAACAGTCATGCTGGGCTTCAGGGGGGGTCCATGCAAGTTGGGGTCCGGCCAAGCTGGGGCAGGCACCGGTCCTCTGCCCTGGCCCACATAGCAGGGTGGGGGTCTGAGCGGGGTGGGCACAGCCACGTGCTGACCAGGCCACGCACCCCTTGCTGGCACAGGCAAGACCCTCGTCCTGCCCGCCGTGCTGGGCATCACCTTCGGCGCCTTCCTCATCGGGGCCCTGCTCACCGCCGCGCTCTGGTACATCTACTCGCACACGCGTGAGTATCCCGGGCCCCCGCCGCCGCCAGGGGGGAGTGGGGAGCCCTGGCCGGGGCCCTGACCTCCACCCCTGCCCCCAGGTGCCCCCGGCAAGCGGGAGCCCGTGGTGGCGGTGGCTGCCCCGGCCTCGTCGGAGAGCGGCAGCACCAACCCCAGCATCGGGAGTACCCAGAGCACCCCCTGCTCCACCAGCAGCATGGCCTAGCGCCCACCCGGACACCGGGCCCCGGGACGGACCCTGCCCTCCCTCCCCGCCTGTCAGTCAGCGGCGGCACCGGCTCGGAACATCACGGGGGCCCGTTACCCCGCCCCGGCGAATCTGCAGACCCAGCGTGCCAGGGCTAAGGCTGCCGGGGCCACGGAGAGAGACAGCACTGCCCTCCAGGACCAAGTCTCTGCCATTCGAACCCAGACCCAGCCCTGAGATCGGGCCGGGCGGGAGGGGAGAACAGACTACCCAGGGCCCCCGGGGCCCAGCACTGCCCCCGGGCAGCAGGAGAGCATCACGCAGGGCAGCAGGAGCTGGTGTCCGAGGTGTCATCGTTGTCGGCCCTGGCTGGGCCCGGCAGGAAGCACAGGCCTGAGGGCAGAGGGGCGGGGCTCCTTCCTGCGAACACCACCCGGAGCCCCTCGCCCCCTAGCCTGGGTCCACCCCCATATACTCTCCACCAATAAATCAGACTCTGAAACCCACGCCGGGTGGATGGGCACGGGCCTGAGCACCAGCACTAGGGCTGGGTGACAGCTCTCGGTTCGGATCCTGGTCCCCTGGTCCCCCCCCCCCCCCACCCCCCCTAGCAGGCTGCTTGGGGATCAAGGCGGGCAGGGGCTTCCCAGGCAACCCGCTGCCCTCCCCCCACCCCGGTCCTGTTCTGTACAGTTGCAGATACATGCCCGGTGTCCTGTGCCACAGACGGGCACCCTGACACCTGGCAGGCGAGCGGGCGAACCTTGACCACACCTCTCGGCTCCTGTCCGCTGCAGCCCCAGCCCAGAGCCTGTGGGAGATTGTAGACAGCAGGAGACACACTTTTAAAAAGTTCCAGGCTTTACTTCCCTCTGTCCCTGGGGGCTCAGGCAGGAGGAAACCGATGAGCCAGCCCCGGCAGGACCCCCGCCTGGCCAGGCCTCTCACACAATGAGCTGGGCCGGAGCCAGGAAGCACGGGGTCGGAGGGGCCACGGCTGCCACCACCACCGTCACGCCGGGGAGCCCCCTGCCTGTCTCGGCAGGCGGCGGGAAGGAAGGGGAGGCCGGAGGCTCCGAGACAAAGGATGCTAATCCTGGCCTCCCGTGGAGGGCGGGGGGGAGCGCCCCACTCGTGTCCAGGGCGCTGGAACCGGGGCAGGCCCAGTGGAGTCAGGAGAGCCAAAAACCAAAGGCACCGCAGATAGGAGGAGTCCGTGGAACAAAAAGGCAGGGGGGGTCCCCGAGCTACTGGGACATGCTTGGCTGCAGCAGCTTGAGCACGCCGCCCACCAGATGCAGGCTGCCGGTGACCAGCACGTGGACGGCCGCGGCCTCCCGCAGCACACTGGCCCCGCTGTTGGCCACAGGGTGCGTCAGGAGGCTCTGGGGGGCACCGGGCAGCTGGAACACAGGATCCCGGCCTTGGCTGATCCACTGCAAGGCGTGCGAGATGCAGCTGAAGACCAGGGAGCTGGGCCGGGGGGCGGGGGGTGGCCGGGAGGCCAGCCGCAGGGGGGCGGGCCCGCTGGGCTCCGGCTCTGCGGGGGGGTCCCAGAGGTGCAGGCCGCTCTGCTCCTCAGCCAGGCGGCCCCAGAGCTGCTGGTGTTCAAGGCAGCGGAGCAGCACCTGGTCCAGCGTCACCATGAAGTTCTGCTGATCTGTAGGTGGGGAGGGGCGGAGATGGATGCCTCAGTCGGACAAGGGAGCCTTCCCGGGGAACATGGAGGGGAAACTGAGGCTTAAAGGGTGCAGGCAGAGCTGGGCAGGCTGGCTTCTGGGCTGGGTGCTGCCCCAGGCTGGCGTCACGAGCTGCATCTGGAAAGTTGATGCCCACTGGGGGCCCCTGCCAGCTTCCAGAAGGCACGTTCCTCAGCTCTCCCCAGGTGCCAGGCTGACGGAGGCCTGGCAACTATATTCCAAAACACGGGCCCAGGGGGCTGGAGCAATAGTATAGCGGGGAAGGCGTTTGCCTTGCACGTGGACCAACCTGGGTTCGATCCCCAGCATCCCATAGGGTCCCCTGAGCACTGCCAGGGGTAATTCCTGAGTGCAGAGCCAGGAGTAACCCCTGTGCATCGCCGGGCGTGACGCAAAACAAACAAACAAACAAACAAAAACACGGGGCCCAGGGGGAGGCGCTTGTGCTGGGCCCAGCAGGATGGGGGCACAGGGGCCACACCTGGCCTCTGTGCTGAATGGACCCAAGGCCTGGAACAGGCAGGGTCTGTGCTCTACACTTCACACCATATCCCGGCCCACATTTCGACTTTTCTGGAATGCACATTCCCACTGGCAACCCAGTCCCCACACACGTCACATGCCGGGAACGGCATCTCTGAGAAGAGTTGCCACCCCAGCCCGACACTGGGCTTGTGGGGCTTCCTACTCGCCTCTGCTTAAAATGACGCCGGCGTGCCCACTGCCGACTTCAGAGCCCTCAGCAGCTGTGTTCGCTCTCCCCGAGGGCTCCTCCATACCGCGGCAGGACCACCTTGCAAAATTCTGAATTTTGTGTTTGTTTTGGGGCCACACCTGGCTGTGCTCAGGGCTTACTCCTGGCTCTGTGCTCAGGGATCACTCCTGATAGGTCTTGGAGGACCCTATGAGGTGCCAAGGGTGAAACTTGGGTTGGCCACATGGAAAGCAAGCCCCCTACCTGCTGCTCTATCTCCCTGTACAACGTTCAAACTGGTGTATGAAGAATCAGCACATAAAAAACATCGACCCCAGGGCTGGAGTGATAGCACAGCGGGGAGGGCGTTTGCCTTGTACGCGGCCAACCCAGATTCAATTCCCAGCATCCCATATGGTCCCCAGAGCACCGCCAGGAGTGATTCCTGAGTGCAAAGCCAGGAGTAACCTCTGTGCATTGCGGGTGTGACCCAAAAAGTAAATAAATAAATAAATAACATCAACCCCATGGGGCTGGAGCAATAGCACAGCTGGTAGGGCGTTTGCCTTGCATGTGGCCAACCCGGGTTCGATTCTCAGCATCCCATAGGGTCCCCTGAACACCGCGAGGGGTAATTCCTGAGTGCAGAGCCAAGAGTAACCCCTGTGCATTGCCAGGTGTGATGTAAAAAGCCAAAAAAATAACCCAAAAAACATCAACCTCCTGCCCCAAGTCCCCCACTCAGAAGACCCTGCTGTTCCCGGGAGAGGGGTCCCCCCCATGAAGCCAGGCACTCACCCGCATTGCCTGTGGATGACACCTCGGTCAGGTTCGGGCAGAACACGGCATAGTCAAAATGGCAGGGCTGGAGGGCAAGGGGACGTGCTCAGAGTCAAGACACTGGGAGGATGCGACCTCCACACAGCACCCCTGAACCCACAAAGGGTCCCCATTTCTGCAGCACCCCCGGCCCCCACAGCACCGGAGTGATTCTGCAGAAACCCACTCGCATCACCCCCAAGCAAGCCCCACTTCCATTTCGACTGTGTCTGGGATCCGGGCCAGAAAGCACAGCCCACGTGGGGTGCAGGAAGCAGGTCAGCCAGCTGGGGGAGAAGCTTTGTTCCCCCAAATGGGGATTCTGGGCATGAAGACCAGCCTCCGCCTGCTGGCTGGGAAGCGGGACCTGGGAACCCAGGAGGGATTTCAGACCCAGCAATCTCCGCAGCCTCAGTTTCCCCAGCAAAGCAGGGTGGAGCTTCACAACTGACTCCTTAAACCAAATCTAGGCAGCAGTCATTGGGAGCAGCGACCCCATTATGTGGAGAGACAAACAGGCTCCACATCCCCCGCCCACCCTGTGTTTGGTGATCCTATTCGCAGGTGCCAGGCCAGTCCAGGGGTCCTTGGAGCTCCGGGCTTGAGTCTTCCCCGGAGAGGTGGGCAGCGGCCTGACCCCCGCCCCTGCGCCCACACACTCTCATAGCAATCACCGGGTGCAGGGCATCGGCTCCAATTCACAGCTGAGGAAGAAACGGGAGGCACAGGTGGGGACACACGCATGCCAGGCCCCTCTCGGGCCCTCACCTGCAGCAGCTTCAGCAGGGCCGCGGGATCCCTGTCGCCAGTGGAGTTGAAGAGCAAGACTCGCACTTCGGGCCCGCTGCAAAGAGGCAAGGAGCAGTCAGGGACCGCCACCAGGGAACTCCTCGCCTCAGCTGCACTCGGTGCCCTGGCCCCGCCCCTCAAGGAGGCCCCGCCCCCCTGTGACCACGCCCCCTCGGGCCCCGCCCCTGTCCCGCGCTCACCTGCCCTGCCTCTTGCGACTTTGCAGCGCCTGCTTAAACCAGCGGGTGCAGGCCAGCACGCTGCTCGAGGTGTGCGCACCGTCCAGGTACCAGGTGAGCGGTCCACGGCACAGCACCTGCGTCCGGCCAGGCCACTCCGTTTCCCGAAGCCCTGAGAAAGCGGGGCAAAACTGCCCCTTAGGTCTTTCTCCCGAGGAAGCCCTCATCTCCTCTCCCACCCCAGCCCTAACTTAACTCCCTCCTGGGACCTGGCCGCAGCTCCAAGGCAGCTCTTACCGGCCACCAGACAAAAGTGGGGGGGAGTGAGAGGTGGGGGTGGTGATTCCTCTGGAAGCTTAGGAGGGGGCTACTATGGGTTACTCCTGTTACAGGTGTCACTCCTGTTACATCCCTTATCAGAGAGGTCAGGGAGCTGGGATGTGGACCAGGATCTGCAAGGCTGAGCAACAGCACACGCCAATTTACCAGCCCTGAGCATCCACCGTGTACAGAGGCTTTCAGGGCGACTGGGAAGCGGGCCATGTCAAGAGTCTCATGGTCCTGGGGCCGGAGTAATAGTGCAGCAGGTAAGGTGCTTGCCTTGCACATGGCAGACCCAAGTTTGATTTCCCGGCATCCCACATGGTCCCCTGAGCACCACCAGGAGTGATGAGTAACCACTGAGCATTGCTAAGTGTGGCCTAAAAATCAAAAATAAATGAATGAATGAAAGAAAATTAAAAAAAAAAAAATCTTATGGTTCTGGTGGACCCGGAAGGTGGAGCAAAGGCCTGAGCACAGGTTCTGCATGCGACAGCCCCACGTTCCATCTCTGGTCCCTTATGGTCCCCAGAGCACCACCTGGTGAGGCCCCTAAACAAATACAAAACCCAGAAAAAAACCACCATGGTCGGGGGACAATGGTGATAACAACAGTGAACTGCCAGGGCCGGGAGCCTTGATTCTCCACCTTCTGGGTCCAGTCCCTTAGTGATGACCCTTCAGTGGGAAGATTCTACCACCTCCCAGCAGATGGAGAAACTGAGGCTCAGTCAGAGTTCGGGAGTCAAGCTGACTGACCGCAGAGATCGTCCACTCGCCCCCACAGAAACGAACAGCCTGAGGGTCCCGCTCACCAAGCCGCATGTGGGGCGTGGGCCGGAACACAGGCGCCAGAGGCAGCTGCTGCAGGAGGGGCGGCCCGGACTCCTTCGGCTCTCCGACGTCTGGAGGACAGGAGACGGGGGTGAGGGAGAGAGGCACAGGCGGCACCGAGAGTGCCCGGGGCCCTCAGGGCAGCTCCTCGTACCCTGCTGGTC